TCTAATGAATGAAGCTCCAAAATTTCTCCACCTGGAAAAATATATCCAACTGCATCAAAATAATTGAACTCTTCAAAACAGTAACCAAAACTCTCCATCACAAACATCTTCTTCTGCTTGGCGTCCACAAGCAACGCCGAACCCTACTCTCGGGTTCCCCAAAATTCCACAAAGGAATTACTGTCAACCAAACAGGGTCGAAGCACACCTTGTAGTAGAAATCATACCAAATGCTTGATCAAAAGGCCCCTTACCAGAACCGATACCTTCAACGATCTCAAAAGCATCACAGATATCACTGACACTATTATACCTACGCTCCATGAGTTCAACTTGGTAGTTGAACACAGTGTATCAGCTAAAATTGATAACAAAGCAGAATCACCAACGCTCCCCTAAGAAATGTTCCAAACTAACCCAGAGCTCGTTATAAGAGGTACCGTACCAAACTAAATATCTACCACGATACCGAACTTGTCCAGATGTGTCTTACCTGATTCTGCACTTCCCTACAAGATGTACAACTAAGATTTCTTCCATCCCTTCAGTACAACTCGGACACCCATTCGAACATTCAAGACTCCACCTTCACCAGAGAGTTTATACCCTTTTGAATCCAGGCTACTCAGCGAAATGAGATTCCTTTTTAGGTCTGGAATATTTCAGACCCGATCAATTTTTCTGACCGTCCCATCCTGCAATCTTAATTTGACTTAACATATTCTAGTAACACGGCAAGACTGGTTGTTTCCCCTCATAACTCCACCTTGTTTGACAACCTCATATGTCTGAAAAAATTTCGACTGGAACACATATGATGCAAACATATCGAATCGAGAATCCACTTCTCTTCAGGTTTAGACTCTACGTCATATACTTATCGTAATCATTCTTAATGTATCATTTCCTCTTGCAGTAGAAATAATACAAATTGCTGAACTTCATTCTCGATCCACCTCTCTGTCAATCACTATGAGAAATCAGAGCTTCATAATCCCTTGATGTAGCTCTAATCAAATGATTCATCTTCTTCTTTGTGAATAGAGCATTGTAAATATCCTCAATGGTCAAAGTATCATGACTTCACAGGATGGTGTCCTGAAATGTAGAATAAGAGGCGGGCAACGAACACAACAAGATCAAGGACAGGTCCTTCTCATCATACTTAACCTCCAATGTCTCTAAGTCTGCAACTATTTCCTTGAACACATCAATGTAGTCTTCTAGTGACCCTCCTTCCGCCATACAATGGGAATACAACTTTTACTTTAGAGCCAATTTGCTAGTAAGACTTTTAATCATGTATAACTGCTCTAGTTTTAACCACAAAGCAGCCGTTGTTTTTTACTTCAAGACGTTTTGTAGAATATTATTGGATAAATGAAGATGAATCTACGATAAAACCTTCCGATCCCTCTGTTGTTTCTCCTGCGTTATCTAATTCGGCATCTTATCAAAACCCAACAATGCATCGTTCAAATCTAACTGCTTCAAAATAGCCTTCATCTTTACTTGCCATAGAGAAAACCTTGTATTACAATCTAGCAGCGAAATATCATATTTCGATGTAGCCATCTCTAAAAAATCACAATCAATTCACGAAGAACCTACAACCTAGCTCCGATACCATTTGTTGAGTCTAAAGGCGACGCAAGGATTGAGACTAATGACGTTGTATGAAATATGTATCAATATCACGAAGATGAAACAAGATTTAAAGTAAAGAAATTAAAGATTGTTAAGCAGGGGAAAACGATGTTTTATTATAACAATATGGAGAGAAAATTACAACACAGCAATTTTTGCTTAAACTAAAATGAAAGAAGCCACTATTTATAAATAAACAACCATACATATAAGATGAAAATAATATGGAATAAGGAAATAATATATTTTCAATAAAATCACTTGAAAAATAAGGAAATAATTATTTCCACATGAAAATAAGGAAACAATTTTTTCCCCTAATTTGGGTCATAAACCCAACATTTTTAACCCCCAAGTTGTCATCACATATCATTGTGTTGCGAATTGCAAAAGCTTGGTGGAGAGAAGAGAAAGGGGATCATGGAAGAAGAAAAGGGCGAAGAGTGGAGATTTGGTAGGAGTGGAGAAACATAGGGTGGTGGGTGGGAGATCGAAGCAAAAGCAGGAGCAGGAGCAGGAGCATGAGCATGAGCATGAGCATGAGCATGAGCAGATGACTTTGATGTAGGTTGGGAAATGGGAGAAAGGATCAACAACCAAATTAAGCTATATTTAAATAATGTTTAAAACCATCAATTACTAAAAGGTTCACTTAGTTAAGGTTTCTAAACTACTTAGAGCCCTCTCCTTATTACTTCATCACCACCACTTTGAATGCCTTAAAAGGTTACACACGAGGAAGGAAAGATATGAATAAAAATAAAATAGAGTTAGATGGGTAACACTCTTGTACGCTTTAATATGATTGTGTCATAAGAATAAGAATAATAATAATAATAATAATAATAATAATAATAATAATAATAATAATAATAATAATAATAATAATAATAATAATTTCCGACTATCGACTCGACATCATATGAAATTAGAACACATTACATTCAAATAATTTTAATCCCAAAAGTTGAATTAGTCCAATTGTTCTAAATCACCACGATTCTTTTCAATTGCATTTAGAATCATAAAAGATTAAAGAATTTGATCATCAATCCACTTCATCTCGAAAGAAATTTTCAACCATAAGAAGAAAATTAAACAGTGCATAATTATTTCTTTGATGGTTGTTGAGTGTGTCTTTACTACAGGCATACTGTATTGCTTTCCTTGGCAGCTTGGATTTCAAAGAAAGGAATAAAAACTTCTGTGTCTTTGGCCGGGGATGCGGCATCAAGAAATGTTGTTTCGAGACAAGCGGCTTCGGGAGAAAAGGATTCTCTTGATTCAGATGGAAATGCGTCTGTTGTATCGGATTGTTCCTCCGGAGCAGACTAACCAACTGTCTGCATTTCCTTTGAAAGGGACCAAAAAAATGTTATTGAAAAGTTGATACAAGTAGCACTACATAAATCAGTTATGAACTTTACCAAATAATACTTCTTCTAATTAAAAAAGGAAGATAAATTCATTATAAACTTTATGCTTCCTAATGAAATACAATTTTTAAATGCAACTATAAATTTTTACAATTAAACCACTTGTACAAAGTAGTTTGACAAAAATGGTTGACAAAGTGTGTGTTGGTAAGATCAAGGCCAATGAATTTTGTTACTTTCAAAAACTGTTTTTGAATTGAATGGTCTTGATTTTGCCAACAACTACTTTGTCAACCTTTTTTGTTGACCTACTTTGTAAACATAGCAAAACTCAAATTTTTATGCGAGAAGAAATACAATTTTTAAATGCACTTGTAAATTTTTATGCGATATTTTGACAATCAAACGTTTAATTCAATAAAATAATAAATTGAAGTTTAAAGGGGCTTAGCGATAAAGAAAGAAGGGCTCAATATCAATAGCAATTATTGAAAAAGAGATAAATATGAGAGGAGCACAAAAAAAAAAAATAATAATAATAAAAATATATATATATACGCGAAAAATATTTTTTTGGAGAATGTATTGTTTAAAATGAGTATGAGAAAAAAGCGCATGAGCAGTTGCTCGCCAATAAGCTAAATCAATTATTCACTAAATAAGTAATACATTATCCCTTTATGTTGAACTTTCAATTACTTTAATATTGCAGATCGATTGCTCTGTTTAAAAATATTTTTACAATTAAAATCATGACACAAGGATACAAGGCACTTGAAATATTAACTTGCCCGTCTAAGTTTAAAGGTTTACTTGTAAGTGAATAATAAATTAAAATATAAATAAATTCTTAGATGTTTAGAATTTAAAAATATTTGTCCCTTATTTGTGATTATATTTTTACTTAATTTCTAGAAAGGTTTTGTTCCTATTGACCTTTTCCAAGTTAATTTGACAATTTGCCACTGAAGTTCAAGTAAAATTTTAAATTGGTTATTAAAATATTTTGATGATCTATTTAGTAATTAAAGTTAAATAGTATTACATAATTTGTCAATCTTTTAGTAGGCATTCACTCCTGATCCAATGTTGGCACGTTAAACTTTGATATTGACTAAAAGTCTGTTCGGTAGTGATTATGAGAATTGATTTTTGATCATTAGATCAAAAAGTGAGTCTTACCTGTAAGAAAAGAAGTAAAAAATGACGGTTGAAATAGTAAAAGAATAATAAAAAAATTGAATTTTTTTATTATCTTTATTTTTTGTTGAAAATTGCTACCAAACGGGGTTGAGTATCTTGAGTCCATATTGTGAATTTACATATTTTTAAAATACAATGTGATTTTTAGGGGTAAAAAAAAAAAATTCAAATTCAACCCAAATATACCAAACATTGCTTCATTTATCTTCAAAAAAATTTCATCACTAAGCTCTAACTAAAGGTTAGCTCAATCATTAATCACTATAAATATAGAGTCTGTTTTAGAGTGATTTTGATAATTGATTTTTTGATCGTTAGGAGAAAAATGGGATCCACATGTGAGAGAAGGAATCAAATATGACGATTAAAATAGTGAAATAACAGTCAAAAAATCAATTTTTTAGACAAAAAAATCACTCTCAAACAAGCTGATAACTACTAATCTAAAAAGAGTAATGCTATTCATAAGCATTAATGTGACATTAATTAATTTAAAATGTCAATTAAGATGATAAATTAAATAAATTTATCTAAATATCCGAGCGATTAATTTGTAAATATTTTTTTAACCATAGTGCCTGAAATGTCATAAAAATCTTTCATTGAACAATTTGAATTTTATTTCAACTTCATAAATCATCTGTGGAATTAAGTCCTTGTTTAGATAAAAATTAGATTTTTAATAAATTTTGATAAAAGGTGATAGAATAGGTAAATAAAATGAATTATTAATTTTAATTTTAATTTTAATTCACCTTTGTAATGAAACCAAATGGACTAAGTTGACAATTACCACAAACTCTCTCTCGAAGCCAGAAATTATTATTTAGCGAAAAAGCAAAACTTGACGGTGAAAGTGAAATATACACAAACTGAAATGCCATGAATAGTAAGGACGCCAATATGATAGAGGCGGACGCCATGGCTCTGCCGCCACAGCCGCAGCCGCAGCAGCTCGGGTTAAGCGCTGACTTCAACGGTGATGTGAGAAATTTTTTGTCAATGGCTCGCCAACTCATCGATCAAGGCAAGCCTTCACAGGCTCTCCAAGCGGTAATTTTTTCGCTTTTAATTATTAATTTGTTGATTCTTGATCAATTCTCATCTCTTTTTTTTTTCCGAAAATTCTTTAATTGATTGTTAAAAATCTTGTCTTGCGATTTTAACCTTTCCGATTAGTTTTTTAATTTCTCAATAATTCTCTCACATTTATATATAATATTTTAGTTCAATCTCGTCCTGTAATTGCACCCTTTTCGAATAGTTCGTGATGTATTCCTGATTTCATCTATTATCGTTTTTGGTCTTACAAAAGTGAACTCAAGTTTAATTTTTGTTTCAAATTACAAGTTTGAACTAAATCATGATGATTAATTGTACCCTTGGATTATGATCACACCGAGCACATTGCATTCTTTAGAAATTGATAGGTGCTTGTGAATTGTACGTTCTAAAGTTGGTATAAAGCCGTAGATAATGCAGTAGTATTGGTATATATGGAATAATTTTGGAAGAAGTAATACTAAAAATGAAAATTTAATATTTCTGAAAATCAATTAGTTGACTGCACGTCATGCTGTTTTGGGCGAGGAAGTATAACAATTCCCCCCCCCCCAACCACCGTTTATGAATCTTGAACCTAGTATTATTGATGGCACTTTCAATGATGCTTACACAGTCTTGTTGTCAATTTTGTGTCCACTTTCTATTTTCTTTTGTTGAGTATACGTTGGTTGCTGGTGCAGAGAATCTCCAGCTTTCTTTGGACAGTTAAAACTTCAATAGGCAACATGGCCGCTTCAGATTAAAAGAGTGCATTGTTATTTCCTTTGCATAAATGTCAGTTATCTACTAGCACTGATTCTCTTGGGGAAATGGTATTTCTTGCTTGCATTATTTTCATATGGTCAAGGAAAATTGAGATCAGTTCCTTTATAACACTAACTTATTGAACTTATAATAGATTATTTAACTATTCCAATGCTCGATACAATTGTTTAATTGTCTACTTATTTATCTCATGTACAAAGAAAATTCTTTAACATAAGGTAAGAGGAAATTACGGAAAGTGAATGTGTTGGAATCAGAAGTTGAAATGCAGCAATGCTTAAAACTTTGCCAAGTATCTTTCTTTTAAATCCAAAATTTGCTTTTGTTTTCCTTCTCCATTGTTTAGAGCTCCATTTCTTTGCCACCTCTGTTTCATTTCTGCCACCATCCACCCCCATCCACCAGCTCCTGCTTCAGTTTTTCATGGTTTTAAGTATCTGAAAATAGAAAGAAATTGCAAAATTTACATCTTTACTAAAACTTTTTGCTACTTGCATTTAGATAATTTTTTCTGACAATAATGCTCCTAAAAGTGGAGCCCCAAATTCTGAGCTATAGAGCAAATTCAGTGTATGATCCTGCAGTAAAGAGCAAGAAGCACAACTACCCAACCCATTAATGTCAGACAAATTCCTATTTCACACTCGCACTGTGTTAGCTTTCAACAACTGTAATACCAAAGTTCTGTTTTTGATCTCTCATTTTCTCAGTGGCAAAAAGAAGGCAACGGCTAGATTTGAGCGTGGATCTAGTATGTAAGGAGGAAGACAAGCCCTGAACCATATTATTTCTTGCATGTATTTGCGATCAACTCGATGAGCCTGTCTAGTACTCTGTGCTCAACTGATGTCGAACTGGCTCACAATTTTATCAGTGAGTTGGGACATCGTCTTTTTTCCCTCCCTACATAGCAACCCTTTCTAGTGAATTAACTTGACGTGCTTCTGTCAAATACAGTCTTTTCGCTGTCAAATGACTATTTGCCCTTAATCAGAGTGTGCAGAATGGTATTAAGAGAGCTGACATCGCACTCTCCTATTCACAAATTCCACCTATTTTGCGTTACTCACATGTTCTGGTAAACTGCCCTTGGAATCAGCAAATGATCTTTCTTTTTGTCTTAGTTTTTGAACCAAAAGTTATTGTGGTGGGAAGTGGAAGAGTAAAAATGAACCCGGGGGTGTGGAAACGGTAGAGAAAGCAGATAAGAATGAGGGATGCCACCAGCAAAGGGAGAAGATGAAAAGAAGGAAGATGGCCATAAGAAAAATATGAAGGATAGAATTTAAATTTAAGAGTGAACATGACTATTTTTGCAATTAGTTTTCAGAAATTGTCATGTTTCAGTTTGTAATTAAAAATTGGCTAATCTCGAAATTCTCCTTGAGATAATTTGGCTGTTACATACTACTCAAGCGAGTCTAGTCCATGGAGCACATAATCATTTAGATTTGAATCAATGATTCAATGGAGTACATTAACTCAGGGTTTCTGAGTCAAGTTGTCCTTGGCATGGAAGAGACTTACTAAGAAGGCTAAATTCTCTTATACTCTGTGTAATGTCAATTCTTCCATTTTGACAACTACAAAATTGTCTGTGAGGTCTTTGGGGGTAGCTAGAAGGACACACTTGGCAAGTAGGCCAGAAGTAGTTTGGTGTTAGTATCTTACTAATAGGTTCAATTATAACTTGTAAGTGAAGATAGCAAGCAATAGTTTGATCTTAACATCATACTAACAAGGTCTTCTCTTGTGCTCTTTGTAGAAAACTAGTTGATTAATTGCAGGTGGTTAGGGATTATTTTAGAATGATTGATGTACCTTATTTAATTATTTCCATAGTTTGGGAAGAATTGGTTCTCCTAATTTAGGAGATTATGTTTCCATATTTACATTCATCCTGTTGTATATAAATACATGAACATAGAGATGAATAAACGTACAATTCACACAAAAACATTGTGCTGTTCTTTATTTTCTCCATGGTATTAGAGCTTGGCGTCAACTATTACTATCCTTGCAATCCATGACAGAAAATAGTAGGTAGTCTACCACAGAAGTGTTTCAGAATGAGATAAGAGGCCATCTCCTCTATGGGCTTCAACATCGAAAATTCTTCCTAATGTAGAAAAATTGAACGGAAAAAACTTTTGAGAGTTGGCCCAATCTATCAAATTAATAATAGAAGGCAAAGGAGAATTAGGTTACCTCACTGGGACACCAAGAAACTAATAGAGACGACTCTGCTCCGATAATGAAAATTGGAGAATCCGATGATAACCGCTTGGCTCGTCAATTCCATGATGCCGTCCATAGGTAAAACTTAACTATTTCTACCGACGGTGAAGGAAGTCTGAGAGGTAGCAAAAGAGACATACTCGGAGAAAGCACAACGCAAAGTTTTGAGATTAAGACTCGATTGTGGCAAACTAAACAAGGGGAAGAGAAATCATAGATTATTATCTGGAGATGATGAACCTGTGGCAAGAACTCGACCTGAACCTCGAGGAAGAATGGAAATGCCCCAGTGACAATGTTTGCTCCAAATAAAATGGTTTTGAGTTTCAAGTTTCTTGTTTGCCTCAATCACGATTTGGATGATGTTAGAGGAAGGATTTTGGTTTGGCGACCAACCACACTGTGTCTTTTAGGATCTATCCGAAGGAAGACGATTGGAAGTGCCAGAGAATATGCGGTTCTTTACTACTTTGAAGAGGTTAATTTGAGTGAGCAAGTCAAATTGCAATTTGTGATTCTGCATATGTCCTTAGAGATGGTGAACTTTTATTATGACATTATTGAATGGGTCACCCCAATTTGTAATACCTAAAATGTGTACTCCCATCTTTTTTTTTCGAATAAACTTCCTTTGATCTTCAATGTGAAATCTGTGAACTAGCAAAACATCAACGAAGTGTATTTCCAAAATTCGTGTACAAATCATCTAAATCGTTCACTATAATTCACAACGATTTATGTAGACCTTCACGAATTCCTAATCGCACTCGCTCGAACTGGTTTGTTACATTCATTCACAACCATACTCGTCTTTTTTGGGTCTATATGCTAAAAGAAAAAAAATTGACATTTAGTCAGTATTCATTGACTTTCACTTGATGGTTCAAACACAATTTCAAACCAAATTCAAATCCTTCGCACAGATAATGGCACCAAATAATTCATTTCACGGGACTACCAACTAAAACATGGGATAGTCGACATACCGAACAAAATGGGGTTGTTGAATGGAAATCGACACCTCCTTAAACTTGCCCGTGCCTTAGTGTTCACTACTTGAGTGCCAAAAATATACTAGGGAGACGCCATTTTAATGTCTACATACCTTATCAACCGAATGCCTAGCCGCACACTTGACTTTGAATCACCTTTCAAAAATTTTCAATAAATCTTTTCTACCTCATGCTTATGCTCTAATTTATCTCTCAGGGTATTTGGTCGTACAACATTTGTCCATATTCATGCTCACAATTGGAATAAATTAGACCCTTGTGCAGTTAAATATGTATTCATGTGTAGTTAAATATGTATTCATTAGATACTCCATCACTCAAAAAGGCTACAAATGCTATGATCCGTTCACAAAACGAACATTTGTAAGCCTTGATGTCATATTCTTCGAAAATACACCTTACTTTCAAAATAGGGGAAAATTTGTATAAAGATCAGTTAGTAGATTTTCATCTCTATCCTCCTGAACATACCTTAAACTCATATTCAAATTCTATCATACCACCAATTTGTAATATGCCACATATAGAATAAACTTGGACTTATGAGGAGATGCATGAAAACAGAAAGACAAGAAGATACTAGTTTACTCAAGGAAGCCAAAATCAAAGGAGAACCTCTTATTCGAAGCGCTAAGAAAGTTGGAATCAATGATAGCTCCAGACCTTCGTGAGCCTAAATATTCTGATATTAACCTGCCTAATTGCACTCAGAAAACAAACTTGATGATGTATGCTTCACCCCATGTCAAAGTTCATATCATACAATGCTTTATCTACAAAATTTCGTACTTTTACAGCTAACCTTGACAGTACAACAATTCCAAGACACATTCAGGAAGCCTTGGGGATCTCTGAATAGAGTAAAGCGTGATGGAAGAAACGCAAGCCTTACGGAAAAATGAAACTTGAGAAGTAGTAAACATATCAAAAGGAAAAAGACCCATAGGATGCAAATGGGGTTCAATGTGAAATATAAAGCTGATAGGACAATAGAAAGATACACACAAACCTACGGTATAGATTATACAAAAACATTTGCTCCAGTGGCCAAACTTAATATAATACACGTTCTATCTTTAGCAGCCAATTTGGATTGGCCATAAAAAATGCATTTCTAAATGAAAAATGGGAAAGAGAAGTATTCATGACACTACCACCAAGATTCTACTTATAAGAAGAAAATCGGGTTTGTAAACTAAAAAAATCACTATATAGTCTTAAACAATAACTAAGAGCGTGGTTTAATCGATTTGCTAAGGTATTGAAAAGTTTGGGGTATCAACAAATACAGTTCGATCACACCATGTTCTTCCAACAATCGAACTGCGAAATGAAAACAATTTTAATTGTATACGTTAATGATATAATTCTAACTGGTGACAACATAATAGAGATAGAAGTTTACATGACAATTGAATTTGAGGTAAACGATATTTTCTAGGAATGGAAGTTGCAAGGTCAAGAAAGGGTATCAATGTTTCACAACGAAAATACATTCACGACCTCCTATCTAAAACCAATATGCTTGGTTGTAAACCGAGTGAAATACCAATTGATACATGAAGAAAGGCAAAAAATACTGGAAAGCGAGTTGAGAAAGAAAGATATCAACGATTAGTTGGGAAATTAATCTATCTCATACTAGACCAGATATTGCATTTGTAGTAAATGTGGCAAGTCAACATATGCACTCGCTAAAGGAGCTCATGTGGAAGCAGTATTTAAAATTCGCAAGTATCTAAAAGGTTCATTGGGAAAGGGACTACTCTTCAAGAGAAATGATAGGCAGAAAGTAGAAATATTCACTGCTATTGACTGGACTAGTTCTCTAGAAGATAGGAGATCAACAACTGGTTATTGTACCTATGTATGGGAAATTAAATAACTTGGAGAAACAAAAAGAAAATGTAGTAGCTAGAAACAGTGCAAAAGTCGAATTTAGAGCAATGGCACAAAGAATCTGTGAAGGATCGTGATTAAAGAAACTTTTGGAAAAAGTACAGGTTAGTGTAAAACTCCCAATCAAATTGTACTGTGACAGTAAGACAGCGATCAATATCTCACTTAATCTAATGCGACATGATCAAACCAAATACGTGGAAGTGGACAGACACTTCCTTAAGGAAAAAGTAGAAGATGGAGTAATCTGTATGAATACGTCCCTACAAGGGAGCAAATAATAGATATCTTCACCAAAGAACTATCTTGAAAAACTTTTGAAGAATTCATTTGCAAGTTGGATATGGTGAACGTATACCATCCAACTTGAAGGGAAGTGTAAAAAATCGGTTGATTAATTGTAGATGAATTATTTTAGAATGATTGGTGTACCTTATTTAATTATTTCAGTAGTTAGGTGGTATTGCTCTCATAATTTAGGAGATTATGCTTCCGTTTGGCACCCATTTTTCTTCCAAATTTTAATGTTAGGAATAGTATTTTTTTGAAGAATATGTGGTTAAAAAAGAAAGAAATTTTTTTGATTTATGTGTAATATTATTTTATTGAAGATTGTGTGGTTGAAAATAAGAGAGAAAAAAAATGAAAGAGAATGGGGGCCAAATGTGGGCTATGTTTCCATATTCACATCCATTTGGTTGTATATAAATAAATGAACATAGAGATGAATAAACATACAACTCACAAAAACATGGTGTGGTTCTTTATTTTCTACACTCTCTCTTTTTTGTCATTCTGAATGTGCCTCGTGTTTTTAATTGTGTTTTTGGCATTTACTAAATTCTTTTACTTCTTTACTTAGCAAGTGCCTACCAATTTTCTATTGTACGTAGGATATGATGAATTATGCATAAATTTTGGAAATTGAAAACTGATTTTAGAGATGATAAAAAATTTTTTTATCAACTTTTGTGGCACTATGGTATATTTTTGGATATTGGAATCATGTTTTAGAGATTGGTTACAGGTGATGATGGCAATGAGAATACAAGGTGGAGATGAAGCTGTCTTCCAAACTCTTAGTCGAGCTCGAGAGCTATACAGAAACAAAGTTCAAGTTAGTGCTGCTGCTGATGAACTGTCTGCACTCTTTGCCCAGTGTGCAATCGTGGAGGCATCACCTTCCCAGTTTGAATCATCTCAGCATCCCATGGTTGGCCAGTCAATTGAACCACATGTTGATGGAACTTCAATACTTGCAGAGACAGGCAGGAAGCAAGTTGTGCTCGACTCATTTTCGGATGGTAGTAGCTTTGTCTGCTTTCAGTGTGGAGGTGTAGTTAGCAATCATCGCAAAGAGGAACATTATGCTTTCTGGTGCTGCAGAAACTGAGTTCTGGCCACCGGAATGTGATGAATGACTTTGTAGATGTTGTTACTATTTTGTCCCTATGAAATGCTTTATTGACACATTCATGATGTTTTGTGAGGATGCCTCCCCTTTGAGGCATATATTCCATTATGTTTAAGGAGCTGTATAATTTACTAAATGAGTTGTCATTATATAATAAAATTAATGAATATAAGATTATTAGCAGCCATTTGTTCTAATATCATTTTATGCTGCATGTAACTGCGAAACTGATTTATGAGAATTTAGAATTGTTCTGTATATTTATTTTTGCACGTGTTTGGAAGATTTCGTGTTTGGCTACACTGCATGTTCGTACAGAGTTAAAAACAAAAGAGATGTTGCTTGGAAAAAATATGTTGGAATTGGAGACTGGTTTAACATTTTTATTCTATTTTTGGGCTTCGGAGAGATCATACTTTAGATATGCGTTTCGGCAGAGCAGGCGGATAGCGTCAAGGATAAGTCGAAATCTTGTATGCGCAAGATACTCGTACTTGTATGTACTATCCGTTTAAAAAAATTTGTCCATCTTACCTCTTACAAATGTTTACCATGTGCCCCCCAAAATTCGAATCCAAGATGTTTGTCTTATGAGAAACTTAAATTGTATCCTAAATGATACGATAGAAAGTCGTGAGCGGTAAGATGAACAAATGTTCTTCCAGAACGGACAATACATATAAAGCATGTTCAGTAGTGATGATGAGAATAAATTTTTTGACCGTTAGAAAAAAGTGGGTCCAACTTGTAAGTAAAGAAGTAAAAAATAGCGAATGTCAAAGTAAAATAACGGTTAAAAATCGATTTTTTGAGGTGAAAAATTGCAACCAAACGTAAGCTATAATAGAACGACTCAAACATAGAGACTGAGACATTACTAATAATATGAAATACTTCCAAAGCGGTTACTTAGTTGAGCATGTGCGCGCGCACAGAGAATTTGTTTAAAACCTAGTTTCTTCCTCCAGATTCAATTTTGTCAAGGAAATGGCAAAACATCCACAAAAGAATAACCTATTTTAGAATCGAGGAATGTAGCAAAGTTTTTTTTTCTTTTGAACGACATCAATACTGAACTAACACACAACATACAATACTATGTAGGCCAATTCGCCCCCTGAAAAATTCACAAAAAACTTCAAGAAATTGAAACAGCTACTGTGTCTGCACGAAAATTTCCTTCACAAAAGTTGACGTTGGACAAGAAATATACACAACATCGGAAACCACAGAGAGGTGAAAAATCAAACATCTTCGGCAAATGACAAATCTCCCACAGTTCATCCAATCGTCCCTCTAATAACTTGAGTGAAATCATCCAGCAATTGCACCAATTCATAAGACTTGCTAATGAGTAAGAGTAACCGTAGTTACAAAATTCCGAGGTAAACAAACCATTTCGTGTTATATTCATTTCTACCAGCTACAAGCAAACTTCTCTGACTGCCACTTGTACCTTACCCTGCATTGCAGTAAATGCATATCAAATAACGAATTACAAGGTTTATATACAAAAACATTTCATAAAAAACATATACGTGAAGAAAATTCATATTAAGGTGTTACGATGAACACTATATCAAGGGAGTGTCCAAGATAAAGTCGACACCTCTACCCCAGTAGTTCATGTGTAATCATCCATATAACAGAACTACAACAACAATCCAAGCCTTGTTCTAGATAAATATGGGGTTGGTTAAGTGAATTCATTTTTGCAACTTCATTCTCTTTATAGCTTGATCCACTAGAAGATCAAACACAACATCCTTGGCATCCACAATGGACCAGAATCCGTAAAGGACTACTAGACAATCTTTTTTACCTATCTTCGACTCCACATCATTTTAGTAAATGCCTTCTTGATTTCATAAATTTAATCTTATGCGTTCAGGTTTATTTTGTGCAAAGTCATACTTGCAGCACCAAAGTGCTCAACTGAAAACAAGAGCAGCATTGTTCAAACCTATATACTTTTCCAAACAGCATAATGCTGTACTCTTGAGAGAGTTTGCAATATATAGAAATATTGATTCGATTTGAAAATACGAATTTTACCTGTACTTATTTCCATGCACATCCCTGTGCTATGTATTGGGGCTGAAATTGGTCAGAAAAGAATGTACATCGTGAAATTTATAAGCTAGCGACTGTTCCTATACATAACATCTGGAAGAGACTGTGGACGAGGCTTCCCCCTCATGATTGTCTCGTCACTGTGTCTAATCAATTCCGAAAGTCTCCATGGTTTTTGCCATTTCCATTTGAACTGTAACAGCCACTGATGATGGCTCCTCTTCCATCTCCAGAGTTTCCCACCATGCCCGACAAGTGCTAATTTCTTCATCGACAACTGTCCAATGGGTACCATCTGCACACACCAGAAATACTTTTAGCGAGCCAAGCAAGACAGCATAAAGCACAATTCACAAATTAATGTTCGAGATTAAGCCCTAATCCCAATCTCGAGAACAACATTATGAAATCAGAAACACGCTTGAGCAAATTCACAGATCTGTAGTGGTTAATGTGAGAGCCACCGCCACTCGCTGACACAAGTTTTTCGCTATAATGACGCATTGTATAACAATGTTTATCTCACACCTCTCTCTCTTCTCACTTATGCCTCCTTAAGGTTTGTGTTTGTAACTTAAGGAAACTAGGGTGACTTAATACGAACATAAGGATGCCCAAATATAGATCGATTTGCAGTTAGTGGAACAGATGAACAATATAATTAGACTACACGGTCCAGTCCAACAAATAAGGAGCACAAAATCAACCTTTCGTGTTTGATCCATGAAGGCTGCTGACTCTCTGATTGAACCATTAACAATTCCTTCTGTATATTTGAGTTGTTTCTGAGCTGGCACAAGAATTGGCGACAAAGGACTGCCCATGTCATCAGCTACATGTTTGTGATAGTTTTCCTGCAAGAGCAAAATAGTCAAGATACAGGTAGAAAAAAAAAAGAAGAAACTTCTTAAAAATATAAGCAAAAGCAATCATACAGGAGGTGTTGATGCTAATGCAATCGCTACAGCTTGCTCTCTCAATTTTAGCTCCTTCTCAACTTCCTTCCTTCTGACTTCACTCTGCCGCAATAAACCTACAAGTTCCTTCAGCTGCTCTTTCATCTCCTTGATTTCAATTTCCTTTCCCCACAACTGACACCTGTTAATATCATGAAATTGATAAAAATCTTATAATGATCATGCAAATACAGTTTCTTACTAATTGATAAATTCCAGATTCTGTTTAATATTCCTGTCCAAATTCTCATGCATAACCTCATTGATTCTATTCCCAATGAACATATTTCACTCCTTGATTCCTTTGATATAACATAATATAAGATATACTGTTAACCTTTTTTCCCTATATTATCCAACAAAGTGCCTGCATAAATAATCAGTTTTCCTTTCTCCACCCCATGTTTCCTCATCAAATCTCATGAAGTTTCCAAGTATAATTACATAAAACAGATTATAGATGGATAAAAAGAAATTCAGATATCTCGAATGATTCAGTACAACACGTACGGGAAGCTGCTAGAAATATATTTAATTTATTCATTATTCAATGAAGAAAAGGAAAATTTTTTATACTTTAGGAATTAGGGGGAAAAAATCTATCAATAGGAATGCATTCGATAAAACTAACTAAAATGTACCTTGTATCCCCCAAAGAATTGAACATATATTGGAGCAAGTTTTTTGCATCCCCCATAGAGCGCAGCTGATTCCAGCGCCCACGGCTATTGAAAGCACGATCTCGTTCTTCTGCCTCGGAAAGCTGTGAAGCCATTGCAACAAGTGAATTTGACGAAATACTTAGCATGTTCTCAAGAGAAGCGATTCTTGCCATTCTTGCATTAGGGGACATTGAAGATGCCCTGGACAGACAAACAGTTGAAAAGAAATATTATGGCAATTCAAAGTTCAACGTAACAAGTTTATGCTATTGATAATGAAGTTCCAGACAACAGTATGGTATCTGAAGAACCAAAGATATGATAATAAAATGAGCTTTACCTAGAATATCCATTTTTACCCCGAGGGGGGCTAACACCCTTTGAAGCAAATTCATCAACTTGCCGCAAAACAGCTAGTTCTTCTGCCAATGCAGCTCGCCTGGAGGCAGAAACAGAGACTTTAAAATCAATAATAGTTTTTACAAGTCTACAGAAATATGCAGATAACATGAAAAATGCTTGAAAGCGCAAGTGACAAGATATACTATTAAGAGCTCACAACTTACACTTGGCTCTGCTTCTCATACTCAAAACGAACTTCATGAACATTCACCATGACTTCTAGCTCATGATCCAGCCAACGTTGCAAGGATTTCTCATTGCTCTGAATATAAAGCTAGTTTAACTAGGATTGATCAAAAAAGTAAAAAGTAAAAACTAACATTACAAGAGGAAATGTAATTTCACCTGCCCATTCAATCCATTTCCGTTGCTTGTCACTAAAAAAACAATGTACTATCAGTATAAAAAATGAAGAGAGGTAACAAACCCCTTGCAAGGTGACTTCAACAATATGAAAAACAGTACTCCCACTCAACTTCTATCAAAAACAATTAAAATCTAGAATGCCAACTTGCAGTATCTAATAGTTAAGTTAGCATAAAAGATAAATGACTGAAGAAATGGGATCACATAACATGTAACAAATCAGGAAAAATGAGTACCTGAATTGTCACGAGCTGACGACTTACGTGCTTCTAGCAACTCTTTCAGCCGCTTGGTCGCCATTGCAGCCTCTTCCGTCTTTCTCTGAAGAACCTGAGATAAAATTGATTCAAGGAACAATGCCAATGAGTATTCACTAAATAGACTTCTGAAGTTTCTTGCAATCACTAAAGATTGAGAATCAATCCAAAGGAAAAACAAGATTATAAGGCCAACGTTTACCATGGGAGGATATCGCATAGCAAAGCCAAAACTAAAATATACATATTATTAAGAATTGAAGATTCATCAACTACGTGAACCAAAGGTTCTAAAAATTCAATGAAGTGACTATCTCCTAAATCCTTAAACATGAAAACTAAGTTTCTTACCATTTGAAACATTAGGAAAGGGGGAATGCCAAATCCCCCATTTAAGTTTAGATAGAAGGTCCTACATCCCTATCTAAGCTTCAAAAAAATAAAAAATGGAAGTTTTTTAGCATTTCACATCTCATGTTTGTGCGAGTCAAAAAACTAGAAAGAAACAGCTCCACCATTTGCAGATATTTTCATTGAAAACAAAAAACAAAGGGGTGAATATGAGCAAGATCATTCAAGAAATAACGAGTATCAGATATAAGTCTCCCATAAACAAGAACTTTTATTATTTTGCCCTCTTTTTCCATATTGATTCATGATACCTATTTCTTGACATAAATTTTAAGATTGGAGAGATGACAAAAAAATAGAAAATAAAATAAAGAAATCTTTTTTAGTGTTTGTTTGAGAGACAGACTGTTTGAAGTGAAATACCCTTTTTTTTTTTTGGGAGAATGTGTAATTAAAATATAAAGAAAAGTCATGGATCCACATGCAAAATTATTTGATTGGGATAACATGTGGTTGAGAATGAGTTTGAGAAAAGAATTTCAAATAAGCCGTGACAAACAAATTCTTAGCCTCTATTTGGTAGAGATTAAAATAAGATTTTTAGCAAATTTTGATAAAAGTTAATGAAATATGTGGTTGAAGAGTTTTGGGTCCCATGAAACATGTGTTGAAAATTAATTATTGACTTAGACTTTGATAAAAATCTAGATTATAATTTCTATCAAACATGGGCTTAGTATCACATAATATTTCTAAACAAAAAGAAAAAGAAAAAAAAGCTATTCAGTTGTGAACAGCGTTCCTCACTTACAATTCCAAAATGGACTTTCCACCAAATTCGGCATTATAATATTCTGGAATACGTGAAACAAAGAGTATGATCTATATATACAGAAGTAAGAAAAATGGTTCTGACCATTTTCTGTCGCTGATTCAGAGCTTGCAGTTTATGCCTTTCATATTCATTTCTTCTCCCTTCCTTCCTCAACTGAATAAGAAAGAAAGTACCTCTAATTATCAAAACCATATCGCTTCAAAATGAACGTGCAAGTAACGGTACAAAGTAAAATCATCTATGCAGTAAATTATGCAACTAAATGGTAAAACTGAAGTTTTGTAACCAAATAATATACACTTGGAGTTGTTTCAGTAGTAAAAGTTACAAATTGCTGTTATCCAATTCCATACGAGGTGTATGCATTCGAACAGTCTATCTCATACAAGCTGCAGGATTCATCTAATGTATTTCTTGTTAACTTAAATTGACTCTTTATTATTATTATAACCACTTATGCTATGCTTCTTATTTAAACTTGAAAACAATTATATGGATAATTCTTTTCTGGAGATGCAATGGCACCTGCAATAATTCTTTTTCTCGAGATGCTTTCCATTGTCGGAAGTGTTCAGCTTCTTGTTTAATCTTATGTTGCAATTGAACCTACAACACTAGAAAAAGTTAGCAAAACATGTGCCACATATAACAGAGAAAATATGTAGACAAGGGAAAGAAAAATGTAACCTTTTGTGCCTTGATGCATTGAATTTCCTCTTGTAATTTTTTTGCTGCTTCATCACTTTTCTGCTTCTGCTTTAAAAGCTGAACCTGATTCTCTTGTTTCCTTTTAAGATCTTGTATCTGTATGTGTGAATATGGTGAAACTTCTTAAAATAAGGGAAAAGACTATGAAAAAATATTTTTCAAAAGTCTCCAAAAGGAAATATTATCTTAGCAGAAAAATATAGTAACCTGTGCTTCAAGCGCTTTTAGTTTCTGAGAATGCATATCCTGCAACTTCTGTGCTTGTCCATCAGAATTAGCAGAAAGGTTTTCAACTTCTGCCAACAGTCTATCCCTCTCTTGCTGTATTCATCAAATAATTGAACTAGAGAACATAAGCATTAAAGAATGAAAGGAAAATAATCATTCAGTTATTTCTATTAGGGGCATCTTTGATGCAGGGCATGGACAGGACTCGACAATATTAAAGGAGAAAAGGACAATAAAAACTTCTTCATTATCCTGTCATATAATGTGTACACAACAAGCACTAGAGGTATTTGACCTGGACAGTCCGTTTTTCCTCTTCAAGTTCCATAATTTTCTTTCCAAAGTGTTGCTTGAGAGCCGTCGTACCACTACCTCCACAAAGTTTCATCTCCGACTGCAAGATGTAATGCAAGGTTATATGCTAGACAAAGAAGTTATTGCCTTCTTTAACTAGTTCCAGATTAATCAACAAAAGCTTTCTACAGGGCATTGTTATATACAGTGAATCTATCAGAAAGTGATATAGAACAACAACTACATCACAAAGTAGAGCATTAGCACCAGATTAAGAGCAGTGAGAGATTTGTGTACAGCAGAAGTATCATGTGCACAGTTGCTTGCATAAGCACATAGAAAAGCTATTGATAGTATTTTGTTATAGCTACCCAATTTTGTACTAGCGTAGGATCAGAAAACAAGTTTACAGAACTGTCATCTTAAATGAAGATCGTACAGATACATAATCTTTAGGTGGCCAATGCTGAACTGTATGAAAAGGATGTACAAGCTTGTAAAGATATCAATATAGAATCATAAACAGACATTAATCTAACTTCAGATAATTAAATAAGAAAATTTTAGGTATGAAATGTTTTTGCATATCTTTTAACTTCATGGTTAGACATCAATTGCTTACAGTTGGCATGTTCCTTTAGAATGGTAACGTTATGAAAACAATTAGACATCCTTCTTCTACAATTATAGTAAACATTCGCTTGGAAATAAAGGATAACAAAATCACAGTTTACATTACACTACCGACTTTATGGAAGAGAAGACCCAAATTATTGAAACAGTATGTAATGCTCTGTCCCATAGCAGTTATTTGGCATTTTTTGCATGGTGTTATTGTATAAATGACATGGAGGGGCTACTAACTAATACATAGCCTTGAGGTTTTTGAGTCCCATAAAGCCCTTCATGTTGCTTTGGTTTGTGATTTAATTTAGGTCATTCTTTACAAATTTGACACTGGGCGAACTGTTATTTGTCTGAAAGAAGGCCTACAACAGCTCTGTATTAGGGACAGGAGAGAGATCTTTCACAAGATATGTGTTAGGGAAAACTGGTCAGGTAATTTGCAAGGATGAGGAAGCCGTATATTAGAGCCATCCTGCATCTGTTAGTCGAAATTGTTGAGTGGCATATAACACCAGAGTGCTTTATGACTTTGAAAATTAGCTTAAACCTTTTGCTCCAGTTGCCGACGCACTTCATGTGAACTTGGTTAGTACTCTCTAGTCTATTCATTTGACACTCAGCATTCCCTATTACCAGTATGCAGTAGCCAATCTTGCATTCTCATGTTCATATTGCCAAACACCAATCATTTCCTTTTTCTGATCCCTTCAGATGCACACTGACACCAAATTTATTCAGTAAAAGGCATATACATGAAGTTCTTTTCAATATTTTTAATTTTCATCTTTTCGATTGTGCAAATTTATAGCTTTGACATAGAACATTTTTTCGGATACATAACAAAAAAAAATCCATATCCTTATTCTCAAAGATTTGAAGTGCTTTCAAGAATTCTAAGTACCTCTTTCTGCTCCAAACGCCTATTTAACTCGTTTAATTCTTTATCCATCGTATTTTGCAAATAGGTATGTTCCAACTCTTTCGCTGTATCTTCATCAATATCTCCTGAATCACCTGCAAGGAAATTAGACCAGAAACTGTATAATGAAGTCGTAAATAAATATAATGAGTTCTGGAAATGAAGCTGGGCACTTTTAAGTTCATCCTTCTTATTTTCTAATAAGAATAAATTTAAGTTACCGTCATTCATAAGTTAATATTAGGAAACCAAATACAAAGCTAGTTCAAATCCTGAGAAACATACCATTTTCACTCATCTGGTAATCAGATGACTCCATACTTTGCAATCCCCTTTTGAGCTCTTCACTTTTTACAGAATAGTTGCAATCAACCTGGAGCATTTATTTTGACATCGAAAAATAAGATTACAAATTTAAATGTACATTGACCAGTATAAATATCCAGCTCAGCTTTTACGATATCAGCTAGCAAGTTGAAATATCAAATACAATAAGTAGATGTCTATTAAAGATAATTACGAGCTAAGTAATTTATATCAACAATCTATGGCATACATTAGCATCAGCATCACATTGCTCGATACCACTCCTGCCGTTACGATATTCATTAAGTTCCCGACACAACTCCTCGTTGGTAGCCTCAAGCCAAGCAATCCTATCCTTAAGAACCTGCACAAGTTTATCTCTAGTTAAGACTTTTAGAGTAAGTTTGGTATGCATTGCTAGACACAATTTCACAGTTACATAAAAATTTAGCCTCTGTTTCTTAATACTATTCAATACTGTTAAATTCAACAAACCAAATAAACCATTAGTATTTTTCTCAAACAATAGAGAGGAATCGACGCTATGTTTGCTATGCATGTAAAAAATTTCAGAAAATGATAATGCAGAAATTTCAAACTTTCCACCTCAAGCAGTTTACTGTAATAAAGGAATTGATCATACCTGTACTTCGTCTGATGAAACTCCTCCTGTGCGGGTACAAAGTTCTGCTTGCAAATACTCTAGCTGTTGTCGCATCTTGAGCATTTCACTGGACATTGGATCTCTGTTAATCTGATCATTAAACCAGCAGAGTTTAATATGACGACTTTCAGAAGCAGCAGATCTCTATCTATATGAGGTGAATGAAAATGTAAAATTTCAGCCCAGGGAAAGTGGTGGTGTTGGTTTTTTTCCTTTTTGGTGGGCTGGGGGGAGCAACTACAATTACTTACCACAGGCTTATTCTGGATATTACGAGCACGATTAGCATATTTTAGTGTGTTAAGAGTTTCTTCGGCATTTATATCAGCAGGACTAATGCAGGCTGCAAAAAGAAAAGAGTTTAAGGATAAACAAGATTGTGATTACTTTATAATCTTGATGCATATGAATAATAATGTTGGAACAACATTCCATAAGCAAATGTATTAGAGGGACAAACAGTCAATTTTGAAAGAATTACCTATCATGACTGTTCTGCTGTTGCCACCAAGAGAATCCTGCCAATGTTCACAGACTTAAACTTAATGCAAATGACAATAGCTCAGTATATAAACAAACCAGACAGGAAAGATCCTTTCTTAAGAATATGAAGGAATATTTGAAACAAAAAAGAAAATGAAATAAAACTGCTGTTACTTCTCTATCAGATCTGATCAATTCCTGCAACATAATTTTAACCCATAAAGCATAACATTCTTGAGGTAATTAAAAATTCCTGATGATTTAGTTGACAATATTATTTTAGAATTAAATTCAATTAGGTACTCCACCCCACCTGCTTCCAGTTCGAATAATTAAGGACTTCAATATTTTCTTTACATATTACTGTAAAAATACAATGCCTCAAAGGTCTCCAGCAGGTTAAAAATTAACAAGCAAAGATGATTGATCTTATCCAAGCTTCAATATATTGAGCTAAGCTATACAAATATTACCAAGAAAGTCATAATTTCATGATGGAAGTATGACAAGGTTATGAAATACAGTTAACCTTGAAGTTGAAAGGTGTGTCAAACCTGCAGTAGTCGAGTAAGTTTACTATCCCGATATGGCACGTGAACACCTTCTTTTCTCTTTTTTTCATCACCAAGTGCACTAATGACGTTACCGAGTGCAAGAAGGCCCTTATTAATGTGAACTCCTGTAAAAAAATATATAGTCTTACTTTTGTTATGAATAAAAGAATATGTGGGAAGAATAAAATGTATGTTTAGTACGCAATACAACAAGATAGGAGAACTATTGAACAAGATGTTAGCTTCTATACAATTTTCCTTACCAAATGTAACTAAATGTGTACTCCTACATACCTTCTTTGAAACGGAGGCCATCAGAGCCTGTTCTCTTGGCTCTCTCTGATCCAGCAAGATCCACCAAATGCAACTTGGCACAAAGATATTCTTCAGTCATACAGTCATTGAGATTCTCATCACTAGAAACACCTGGATGAAGTTTACGCATCTGCTCCACTGTGATGGTGAAGATGGCATGAGACCGACTAGAGGAGAGAGAGAGATAAGAGAAGGTCATTATACGCAGTAGTAACTTGAGATAAATTTAGGAGTAAGAATTCAGCATGAGCTCTTTTTCCTGAATGTATTCCACCAGTTGTTTCATCAAACAGGCTAGTATTGGCGGACCATTGTATGATTATTGTAACATTAAAAGTAAAATGTATGTAATTATAATACTTATGTCATCATAATAACTAAATCAAGTAAAAGAACATCAAGATGAAGTACTATGAGAACTTCCAACACCCCATGTCAAATTATACTGCCCAACCCATAAGGGAAGATTAGGATCCAGTGAACTTCATAAAACTCATGAAATAAGCTTGAGCAATATAACTTTTCCCTTCCAAATGAAAATTTTAAATTCAACGATCTTCGAAAGAAATTCAGAAGCAGTTGCGTAAGCAAGCAAGATATTCTTTTATTTTGAACAACTGTTTAAAAATTAAACCACCATTCGTCCTATTCTAAAATGTCAAATAAACAATAAAATTCAGTGATTCCCGTACATTATGACTATCTTTTGTTGAAAATACCCTTGATGTATGAACAGGATCACAGAAAAATATCACAATTTTACATCAATTGTATGGATTGTCACTCTATTTCCAATCCAAGACCAGAAATCGCCAGACTAATTGTCGATATTTGACAAACGAGCAAAATTGGCAGTGCAATTCTTGTCTTGTTAATAGGAAATTGTTTCCTAAAGTGACATAAATTTTTCTCAGCAAGGTAGAACAAACAAAATAACATAGCAAACCTTGACTGATTGTTCATGTTTGTGCTCCCCGTTGCCCTGCATAGTGACCCTTGTTCCAGGCAATCTGCCATTTCTTTTAGCGTATTAATGCTGCGTTCAGTAGATCCAGCAAGGGTAATAACACCATCTGATGTTTCACGAATTTGTATGGGAGCTTTCCCGGGAATTGTTACTTTCCCTGCATGTCCATTTGCTGTCTCTGATTTGCTAGCAGAACTGGGATCTAGCAAGTCTCGGACTTCCTCTTTGTGTATCTACACATGAAAACATTTTCGTTATACACTTGTTAGAAATTTCAAGTGCAACACATCTTATCTAAGAAAATATGGACAAATGAGAAAGGGGTAAATAGACGAACCTCAATGAATGAAACATGCAATTGGAATTCGATCTCGTGCTTCAAAGTTTCAATCTTGCTGAATAATGCATTCATAACTTTGGGAATCAATCCCGTTTGGCATCCATCTTTGAGACTAGTGCCCATAGTGTACGTTTTTCCTGAACCCGTCTGCAACAAATTGAATTGTCAAATCTTTCAACCTACTAATTAACTGCGGACGTTTTTTGAATTGCTTCTGCTGCAAATCCACAATTTCTACTGTACGATAAAGCTTTACCTGACCATAGGCAAGAACAGTTGCATTATATCCTTGAAACAAGCCATCAACAAGAGGAGAAACACACTCTTCATACATGGTAGAAGAAGGAGACCCTGTACTTCCATAGACATGATCGAAGGTAAAGGAATGCGTGCCAATTTGCACCTGAACAAAAATTACAGCTGAATAATAAATACAAAGATAATTGATATATACAGATGAACTTCAAATATAAGACAACTTCCAAGCAAACATATGTTATCCCAGAATTTTACTATGTAAAACCGGTTTATCTGCCGCAGCCTGAAAATCGAAAGACTTGTGAATTCTCCCACAGCATGAGATATATTCTACTAGAGACTGGAAATGGGATGAAGTCATAATCAAGTAACGATAATAATGATCATAAATCTAGCAGCCATAACAAATATAACTCCAACTAACCAATCCCTCTCTCCCACCCCACTCCCGGTTCACACAAACAAGCCGGTGAAAGAGAGGAAATTTCCGTTTATAATATTCATTTCCGAAATTGCTCTACCATTTTCAGCAATGGGATGTATACATCCAAATAAGTTGAAGATGAAGTACAAATTCACCTTTTCAAAATAATAAAGAGAGAGTTTCTACTCTAAGCAAGGGACCTCAAAGATGGCAAATGAACCTATCCAGAAATCCATAGGCACCAAAACATTTACAGTTCCTCTCTTAAAATTTTAGACACATACACCAACATAAAATGAAAATAATAACAATAATAAGAAGAAGATGAAGAAATTTAGGATCTTCTTGTGCCTCAAAATGGTTAATTTATAATTGACTGTTGCGAAATGTGTCTATGAGAGTGCAAAAATTCCATCAAATTGATAATATATAAAGGTGGAATTGATGTGCAAAAGCACCCAAATTCAGATAACAATCAGATTTTAGAACACTAAATCTCAGACTATAACATGCAGAGCTCCAGAGTTTGCCCAGACAGTATGAAGCTAAAATCTTGAAAAAATTATCATCAAAAGATCAGATCTTCATGAAATCATCAAATCCAAGGGCTAAAATCTGATCCAAATCCATGCCAATAACCCCTCAAACCCAGAACTCTGGGGAAAAATCTCTAATTTCCGCAATTCTGTAGTCCACAGTAAAAACCCATATCACATTCTGAGTTTTAAGAGTACCTGAGGCTTCCCAGAGACTACAGTAACACAATCTTTACAGCCCTGAAGGCTTTCATCTCCTATAAGAGGCCTGATGTGAACTGCCACTTTAACAGAACAATTCTCTCCCGGAGAAGAACCGGCTTCCATTGCCGGAAAACACTTCTTTTTCTTTTTACCAAGAAAATTTTACAGTTAAAAAAAAAAAGGAAACCCGTAAGAGAGAGAAGTGAATATGTGTTGGAAAACAGTTAGCAGGAATTTTCGTCAGAATTTGTGAGTGCAGTGAGAGAGAAGAGGTCTTGGACAAGAAAGTGATGCTGCAACCACAGAGAGAGAGAGAGAGAGAGAGAAGACAGCTACCAAGATTGTAATGTATACAAAGAAGAATAGGGAGAAAAATTATAACGAATAGCATGTATCCCCACGCCCACTTCCAATTATACATATGTGCATATAAACAGTATCATTTTTTTACTGTATAATAAACTTCATTCATTACTGTCTCTGTAAACTCTGGTCGAAATACAGACAGTCTATCGTTTAAAACGTAAAATCAAAATATATAACTCCGTGAGCTATTTTGTTTTCTGGTTTTATGTGAGTGTAGCTTTTTCTTGGTATTCCCTGAAATATGGCACAATAAGATTGCTGGGGTATATGTAAAGACTTGAATTACACGCTATACCCAAGAAAAGAGAAAAAGGACACATGTATACATTTGCTGCCTCAACGGTCTTTCTCATTTTCCACCAAAAACAGGTGTCACCCAGCTCGGGCAGTTACCTAATTACTCATTTGCCCTTATCATAGTACTATTTTTCAGAAATGTTTATGCATGCCAAACATGAAAAAAAAAAAAAAAAAAAAAGGTTGAACACCAACCTTAAGGGTTCCCACGGCCCCTGCCCTGAAGTATCGTGAGGGAGGTAAATTGCAGGTTATGTCTCTAAGGGTACAGGGTGGAAATCTGCTTGTACACTTGCACTTACCCAAGAGCCAAATCCATATTTCAGGATTCGAACTATTGACGCAGCAGTCTCAAGTAAAGTTGGATTTCTTCACCCTCCCCTTTTACCACTTGGAGATGTGCCCTGGGGGCGTATGCATGCCAAACATGTACCTAAATAGTGATGGAGAATTCAGGTAAGCACAAGTATCCACTAGATAGCCGCTCGAGTGACCGTCGAGGGACTTTCTAATATGAGGAAGAACAAAAATTTCGACGAAGCCAATATAGGTGGTCATAGAAGCTTGTTGAGTGTTAGCTCTACCTCGACCTAAAGCAGTATATTTTTCATAGATGGTCTCCAATCAGATAAATGAGGAGGGTTTGTCGTAGGTTTTACAATAAACTATAAAAATTTCTCTAATTTTGTGAAATGAATTTTAATGTATATTTTGATCAATTGTGTTGCATAGTCAAGGGACTTTGTCTAGATTTACATGTGGTAGAATTTCATTTTAAAAAAAAATAAAATAAAAAAATTAACACATTCAATCACAAGCTACCAGCTCAGTCTTGACTAATTGCCCTAGCAAAATCTCCTGTACAAGGGGTTTATTCCAATTTTTATAAGACGTTCTATTACTTTAAAAGAATTATTCTACTTTGTTCAGAGGATTTTTGAAATCCTTTTTATTTTATTTTATTTTATTTTTATAACTCAAGTGTCCAAGTTTCACATAATTAATTCTGAAGAGTGACGGGTTTCCCCCCTGATTCGCCACCCAAGTAAATTCAGATGCAGTCACAACTTATGTAGACTGAGATCGGACATTCGAGATGCAATTCTCCTCTCTATATACTTCCCTTTACGACGTGTAGACAGGACCTTTGGAGGGGTGACAAAACGCATTATAACTTTGCCTCCACAGGACAACTGTCTTCCAACATAAATGTTATCTTCTGACTGTCGCGTGGATTCAAACTTTTGATCCTCCTTGATAGAGGCACAAGTGGGTGGAAATGATAATTATGTTTAAAATAGTAAAATGATAGAATATCATGTAAGATTATGTCAATCTATCGGTCAAAGATGTTGATAATGCAGAATGACTAATAAAAGTTTGATTCATACGTTTAGTTAGATTGTGCTTTGTTCAACGGTGTACGCGTATTAAAAGACGTAATAATAGCCAAGCCACGTGATATGGAATCCCTACACGATTAGAAGAGAGTTGTTGGGCACGAGGGGAGTACAAAGTGGCCTCTTTGTGTGTACCTCTTTAATTTAATGTCGAATTATGTACCATATTAATTAATTATTGTCATTAAAAATGGTTTTGTGGATGTGTATATATATTTGCGTGATTGAGTTAAATATGTTTTTATGAAATTTTAACTTACTATAATTGATTTTGATTTTTTTTTCCACTAATTTTTGAAAAAAAAAAATTATTCTATTTATATTTGTTTAAAGACTATTGTTTGGTATAGATTTTAAGTCAATTAAAATTAATTTTTGACCATTATTTTACTATTCCAACCATCATTTTTGAATTCTTCTCTCACAGTTGAGACCCACTTTATCTCTAATAGTAAAAAAATCAATTATCATAATCCCTACCAAACAAGCACTATTAAAGAATAATAATTTATTTATATCAAATTCAATGTATTGTAACTTAGAGAATATAATTTGTCGAATTCTTTTACAATCTTTTTCAGTATCAACATACGTAATCAAAAGTCAATACTTAAACAACCAATCTATCCCATTTTTACACTTACACTTTAACCTAATATCATAGAAAATAAAATTTTAAATTCAAGACATATATTTACTTATTCATGATAATTCATTACATCGAGTATTTAATGAAAAACATATTTAATTTGCAGCTAGACAGAAAGTCAAAGATAAATTAAATTTTTACTTTAAAAAAAAATCTTAATTATTTCAAAATACCCTTAACATAATTTTCTATATAACACTCCATAAATGGATTAGAGGTCCCATTTTGTTAATAAGGCATTAATCAACTACAACCATGAAACTGTATATGCTTGGTGGGGAGAAGGGTTCAATGAGTTGGTGGTAAATGGAGTATTGGTCTTACTATCCATCTTTTGGGTCCTATAAAAGCAACACTTGTTAGATTTTTTTATTTTTATTTTGTTCTTTTGGTGATTGTCATAATTCCAAATCTTGCACATGGATTTGTCATTAGGTATATGACATTATCAACTTTGAATCTTTGCTTGTTTGTGTTTCCTAGTTTTGAAAATATAACTTCTAGTCCTCCTTAAACTTTATCGTAGTGAAAAATAATTTAAAATTTATACACGATGAATATGCATGTATGTTACCCTAAAAATCATCATCATGTGTAACGAACTCTATCAGCTCAATTCAAGCATAAATCTATTAGTGTAGTTAGAGAACTTCTTGCCTAATACGGAAATATATTTTGAGATTGACATTATACGAATTATTTTTTCAAGATTGTTACTGTCAGTTGAAGTAACTCAAGTGCAACGACATACGACAGACGTGAATAAGTGGGTACGACGTGGATGAATCATTTTCTTTGCATAAACACACAAAAATGTGTAAACATGTATGTATATATTGGGGTGTATATGATAAAGGGTTTTGGAGTTTAGCAAAAGTGTGAGAACTTAAGGGGTCCAAGAGGAAAAAAGCCAGGGTTTGGAAAGGGACAGTTGGGAGAGGCAGTAAAGGGAAGGAGACCCACACATGTAGACATAGCCAGCTGGTGGTCTCCTACACTCACATGGCCTTTTTAGCCTCCTATTCCTATATAATCTTCGGGGACCCACCTTCACTCAGTCAAGGCTCACACTCAAGGCTCCTCATGGCCCCCACACTTAATTTTTTAAACACAATTTGGGTCTCAATTTAATTCTAGGATTATGCAAACTTAATAAAACAAAAATATTGGTCTTAACATGGCTCTCTATGATTAGTTCAATTAGGGTTCTCAAGATTTTCTTGAATTTATTGTTGTGCTTTCTATAGCAAGAAACACCATTGTTTGGTTTTTATTATTTTTAGAATATATTTTTTTTCTTTTCTTTTCAATCACATATGTTTTAATAAAATAATATTATATGTAAATTCAAAATTTTTTCTTATTTTTTAATCACAAATTCTCCATCAATTTGTGTGTGTATATATATGTGTGTGTGTGAGAGAGAGAGAGAGAGAGAGAGCGCGTGCGCCCGTTTGGCCCCATTCTATTTCTCATTCTTTTTTTCTATCTTATTTTTAACTATATAATCTTTTCTAAAATAATATTACACGCAAATAAAAAATTTTTAATTTTTTTTCAACCGCACATTTTTTAAAAAAAATACTATTCAAATCATTAAAATTTGAAAAGAATTGAAGCCAAACACGGGCTATATATGTTTTGTCGGTGTGATAAGGTCTCTAACAATCACTTAATGGAAGGAGGCAACTCACTGCAACAAAAATGATCTATGCAATCATTAATTTAATTGTGGTTCTCAAGTTTCTTGAATATTTTTAGAACTTAACCTAGTCTATGATCTAGCCATGCCTATTTCTTTCTTTTCACACTTTTTCTGCCATCTTGTTGGTCTTAGAATGAATTAAACTATGTTTACAGAAATGTTTGATATATAGGTTGGCATCCTTTCACAAGTGTTGGGATCCATGCGAGACCTATATGAATTAAGAAAGACAAAAAATTATCCCCCACCACCTATTGTGAGTACGCTATTAAAGAATCTTAGAATATGCCAAGGTTTAGAGCTGCACTAAGTTGTTATACTAAAGTACTATACAAGTTTGTTAAGGCCAACAAATATTAGTGACGAAACTTTGACATTTATCCATACGAGTAAAAGGAGTTGTAATTGAGTAACTTCTCTTTTTCGTTTAATTTGGACTAATATAAACATTTATAAGAGTGATTATGATAAACCCTACTCTTTTTCAGTGTATATAATAATTAGGTTAAAGCACTACGGACAAATTAAGGGCTAGTCATTGGTGGTTATGGGGTTGCTTACATATAATCATGGTTTAGGCCCCTTTTACCAATCTAACAATTCAATGGGCAAAACTGATTATCATAAGGATTTAGCCATCAAAAACCTAAAACCACTCGGTTGATTGGGGTGGTCCATCTCAATATTAAATTGTTTTCCATGCATTTGTACATTAATTCTCATTTAGAGAAATATTTCGAGAGGGCCGTCGCACTGTCACGTGGTGCAACCACCTAGTGCTGAGGCACCATCTCGACGGGTGACCCACACAACTCGAGGCGTGTGATGGGCCACCCGCTGAGGCTGCCCTCCATGTGTACGGTGCGACTGTCCTACTAAAGTATCTCTCTCATTTTAGTCATATCTGCATTTTCCATACATATATACTTGTAGATAACTTTTGCATGTCAAATTTGGTTAATAATTTAGGGTTAGGAGGCCGACATGCAGTTTATGCTGTTTAAGATACAAATACATAAATTGCTATTGAGAATAACAATTAATGTTTTTAAATAAAATAATCCTAAATAAATCTCACTTTGTGCCTCAATATACTTTTCTCCGTTCACAACACGCATGTAGAGCACTAAGTATTGTTGATGAAAACA